GGGTACTCGTCTGGCTCTGTCAATCTGTTTTTTCACTTCAGCAGGTGGGTATTGTAGTTTTAAGTAATGCTTGATAGAGATCTTGTAGGTGCTTGTCTCTATCCGAGGGATTGGAGCAAATGCGGTTATATCTTAGAGCTTGGCTGTAGACAATGGATCGTGTAGTGTGTCTTGGATGGAAGCTGGAGGCATGTAGGTAAGTGTAGCGGTCAGTAGGTTTCCGGCATAGGGTGGTATCCATGTGACCATCGCTTATTAGCACAGTAGTGTCCAGGAAATGGACCGCTTGTGTGGATTGATCTAGGCTGAGGTTGATGGTGGGATGGAAATTATCGAAATCATGGTGAAATTCCTCAAGGGCTTCTCCTCCATGGGTCCAGATGATGAAGATGTCATCAATGCAGCGCAAGCAGAGTAGGGGCGTTAGGGGACGAGAGCTAAGGAAGCGCCGTTCTAAGTCAGCCATAAAAATGTTGGCATATTGTGGGGCCATGCGGGTACCCATAGCAGTGCTGCTGACTTGAAGGTATATATTGTCCCCAAACTGGGCACACTGGGCAACCCCCATGGCTGATATTGCAGGATCAGGGCCTTAGGTGGTTGCTACTAAGGTTACATGAGTTGGGCTAGATTTCCTAGTCCTCTAGTCATTTCAAGAGCACTAGGTGAAAACTGGTTTGCAAGCTTCAAGTTCCACCTTTTAAACAAGCTGCATAAACACAGCAGGACCGGTGCACAAACATTAATAGCGTTGAGACTCACCATGAACATAGCAGTAACAGGGAAAAGAACATCATCTACCAAATGCCCCCCCACCAGCACACTTGTATATTGTAACAGAAAGTCCACCCAAGCTATATAAAGTGCTAATAGGATATTTTAAATGACTAGTCATTTAACAGATGGTTGCCATCTGTGGAAACCTAAATTAACATTTTGGAGAAAGTACAGTTTTTACATAATTACTCATTAGAGTCAAGAAATACATGAGTAACTAAATAACCAAGTAGGTGTGTGATATAATTTTAGCATCAATTAAGGTATTTAGCCTTCATAATATCTTTTTATGGGTTTTCTAAACACTTCATGTCCTCAGGCCAAATTCATACTGGAGTCGAACACCGTTAACTTTCTGCAGGCGCTGGCTGCAGAGCGATGTCATGTCCGCTCCAGTCCTAGCATCACTCCTGAGTTTCTTCAAATACTCAGAGAAATCCAGGGGCATTTCACAGCTCTACCACAGCAGCCGCCTCTTCTCGGAAAATCATGCTCGGAGGCTAACAGGACCACAGTCGCCTGACAACAGTGACACTACTGTCTGGGCGGGAGAGCAATGGATGCAGGCGAGTCTATTTTCAGTTTCCAAGTACTCAACCAAATCATAGCCGTGAACCAACCCCCTCCATCTCAGCAAATACACAGCAAGAGAATACTGCAAGCTTTTGGCTAGAGTCTTAAAACAGGCGCTGGAGGGTCTTATGGCTGTGTCCACTGCACCCCCGTACCCTACCCCTCAAATTCCCTTCCTCTTCGCACTGCTGCAGTTACTATTTTGGGGGAAATCCTAAACAGCAGGGGTCTGTGCATGGTCAGTTCATGGCAGGAGGGGGCTCTGAAGTGTAGGATATAGTCCACAAGAATAAGGGCATGAGTACCCTGATGACTTGGCTTAATTCCCACTGGGGTAACTTCCTTCCCCTTCCCTATGCCCCCTCCCCGGCCTGACCCCTGGAGCTAGGGCTAATCTGCACTTCTTATCTCAGTGGGTGTGTGGTATTCACAACAGCTGCTGGGTGTCAAGCAGGAGGTGGCTGCCGGTGAGTGATGGGTAAGGCTGAGGGGGGCAGGAACGTGCCCTGCAGAGGTGCCAGCCGGACTCACCCCTTGGTGAATGTAAAGGCCCCCCCAGGCTGGTGCTGCCAGACGGCAGACACGGGGTGAAGGCTCAGGGTAAAGCACCAGCCCTCAGACACTACCCCACAGCTGGGGGGGTGTTAGCAGTGGGAGCCCGGCACCCGGAGCTGGGGCCCAAGCGCGCGGCCCTTCAGCTGCCCCCCGGGCGCGAGATGCAGCGGGGGGCTCCGCATCCAGCCAGTAGGCGCCGGGCAGGGACAGGGCCGGGCCCGCAGCTCCCCGGCCTGCAGCGCCGCTCGGGTCCCCCCAACGGCCGGAGCCGGAGAGCCCCGCCCGGCTGCGGGGAGGGGAGGCGGCGACACAGCTGCGGCTCGGCGCTTCCTTCCGGCTAGAGCCGGGAGCCAGCCTCCACCCCAGTATCCCCGCACCCCCTTCCCCCCAGTGCACTGCACCCCAATATCCCTGCAGCCCCCTCCCTGTGCACTGCACCCCAGCCTCCTCCCCAGTGCATTGCACCCCAGTGCACTGCACCCCAATATCCCCGCACCCCCTTCCCCCAGTGCACTGCACCCCAATATCCCCACAGTCCCCTCCCTGTGCATTGCACCCCAGTGCACTGCACCCCAATATCCCCGCACCCCCTTCCCCAGTGCACTGCACCCCATTGTTCCTGCACCCCGATCTCCCTCGCCCTAGTGCACTGCACCGCGCAGCCCCGTCCTCCCCAGCGCGCTGCGGGTACCTCCCGGGCCGCTAGCACGGAAGCACGGAGCCCCGCCTGTCCGCACCCCAGGGCAAGGGCTGCCACGCGCGGCTGGCTGGGAGTCCCGTTTTGCCAGGCCCAGGACGGCGAGCAGCGCCCCCCGCCGGGCGAACTGCAGATCACACCAGCAAGACACTAAACGCACAGCAGCACCGACCCTTGATTTTTCTGGACCATGCAGAGGGGGACACCTGTGTCGAGGGCCGTCCTTCGGTTTGCTGCCTCCTGTCCCGTCCCAAGGCGAGGTAGCATAATCGGGTAACTGAGGCATCATCACACGAGTGATCATAGGCTGTTGTACAGATGGCAACTCCCTGGAGTGACATTTGGGGGTACCGCCCCCCAAATCAGCTTTTTGCTGGATCTATCGACACAGATGGAACAATATTTCCTTGCACCAGAGACAGTCACCTCAGCTCAGCACCCCTGAAATGCCACATCCCCTATACAGGGACCCAAAGCATAGAGACCACGGCCCAGCATGGATTTCTCTGCGTATCAGAATCGCACGAGGCACCCATTCTGTGCTCCAGACACCCCAGGCTTACGTGAAAAAGCCGACAGCACAGTACGAATGATCGCTCAGCCCACGTTGAGAGAGAACTAAATACCCCTAGACAAATATAATGGGAGAAATAAAATAAACCCACTGCACGCACAGGGCCAGATCGTGATCACACTGAATAGCACCTTACACCAAGGTAGTACTCATTGTACGGGTATTGGAATCTAGCCCATAGAAAACCCCTCAGTCTCTTAGAAGCCCAGGGAAAGAGATGGGCTTTGCCCAGAAGGCTAGCAGAGCTGGGCGCGGGTGGAGTGACAGTATGTCTACACTGCAGTCGGAGGTGTCACTGCAGCCTCACGCTAGCTTTGCTCTAGATAGCTCAAATAATAATAGCAGCGAAACCATGGTAGCATAGGCTAGCTGCTCAAATACATACCGTGGGGGTGGGGGTGGAGGTGGTAAGAGGAGGGGGTTGTACCACCTGTATTGCCACAGCTTCACTGCTATTGTTATTTGAACTAACTAGCACTGGGGTGGCCAACATGCGGCTCTTCAGAAGTTAATATGCGGCTCCTTGCATAGGCACCGACTCCGGGGCTGGAGCTACAGGCGCCAACTTTCCAATGTGCCGGGGGGGGGTGCTCTCTGCTCGACCCCTGGCTCTGCCACAGGCCCTGCCCCCACTCCACCTCTTCCCACCCCCTCCCCTGAGCCTGCCATGCCCTCCCCCTCCCCCGCAGAGCCTCCTGCGGGCCACGAAAACAGCTGATCAGGAGGTGCGGGGAGGGAGGGTGAGGTGCTGATCGGCAGGGCTGCCGGTGGGCGGGAGGCACTGGGAGCTGGGTGGGGGAGCTGATGGGGGTGGGGGGAGGCACTGGGAGCTGGGTGGGGAGCTGATGGGTGGGGGGGCTGCTGATGTATTACTGTGGCTCTTTGGCAATGTACGTTGGTAAATTCTGGCTTCTTCTCAGGCTCAGGCTGGCCACCCCTAAACTAGATCAAAGCTGGCTTGAGGATGTTCACATGGGCTGCAGCCACACCTGCGATTGCAGCACAGACCTAGTGGGGAGTGAGTTGCAAGCTCGTGGAAACGGCTCTGGCAGTATCTCCATCGGTACTTCTGCTGATCTCCTTGGCCTTCTGGCATGGGGAGAGAGCCAGTCTCTGGGTAACCTGGTCCCAAGCTATTTAGGGCCTTAAGTTAAGTACCTTAAATTCCCCCTAGAAATTCATTGGCAGCCAGAGCATCTCATGCGAACTCAGCATCAAACATCACTAACAATGAGCAGCTGCAGTTTGCAGTGGGTTCAGTGTCGGAGGGGCTTTACTGTACTGCCCCATGTGGAGGCAATCCATCACAAAGGTGTGGATAAGTGTAGGCGGCGCAGGCTGGTGAGAGAAGGCCACGCTTGAGCTCAGGTGAAAGTGGGCTCAGACCGGATTAGCTCAGCAGTTTGTGCTATTGTCAGAAGGTTGAGATCCTTGAATGTGAGCTCTTTAACATTTTCTTTCCTAAGCTGTCTCTCATGTTCCATGGAGCAGACTTCCCCATTCTCTTAAACTACAAGTATTGACAGGAATTATAGGTGGAGAATTAGCTTCAGGGGCTGGCTTTTGTGCGAGAGCGACATTTTGATTCATTTCATCAAATTACAGTCCCATAACACATGTCAAAAAGAATAAATATGACAGTAATGTAAGTACCAATCTCTTCAGACCAATCCAGACTGGTAATGCAGAAAAGGAATGTTGAATTTAATTGGAAAAAGAGCTACTGCAACTGGCATTGTCTCTAAGTGAAATAATGTTTATTTTATTGAATAGCCCTCTCTGCTGTAGTGTATAGAGCTAAAATGTTGCTCTGAATTGATCAAATGCAAGCTTTGTATCCAGAGAGAGAGAGAAACATTAGTCTCTATCTAAAACAAACCATAACAAATGATTCTGTCAATACTTTATAATGACTGGAGTTTCCAGCTTAGTTGTGATAACTGGTTCTTTAATAATAACAGTGACACCCAGTTCTTATGTAGCACTTTTCAGATATTAAAGCACTTTACAAAGGAGGTCACTATCATCCTCCCCATTTTATAGGTGGGGAAACTGAGGCACAGGGCCATTAAGTGACTCTCCTAATCCCAGCTCTGGGAGTATAACTCAGATTTTCTGAGTCCCAGGCCAGTGCTTTATCCATTGAACCACATTGTCTCCTTACAGAGTCCTTCACTTCTTATTTTGCTGAGGTTATTTGTGATTATGGGGCAGGTTCTCCAAAGCTGCATTGATCTGCAATGGAAGTCAAGGTCCAATGAGTGTGTGGAAGGAATTCTGGACTCAATTTCAGTGGGCTTCGGATTAATGGGAAGACACCAGCTGATTTTAGTGGGCTTTGGGTCAGATTCCTTAGAAAGCGCTGAAATATTTCTGAAACCTATGTATGGAAAACAGGTCTGATGGAGTCAAAGGCTCTGTTACCAAAGTTAAAATCTTGGGTTTGGCGTAGAAGCAAATGGAACCCTCAAGCACAGCGTGAGTGCAGAGAAAAGGATTACGTTAGATGCATCTCATTCATCCTCTGGGTGCCAGTACAGGATTGTCCCAACACCATATTCTCCAGTCCTCTGTCCAACCTGGTTTTAAATATGCCAAGTAATGGGGATTCCACCACTGCCTTTGAGGGTTTAAGAACTCCCTGTCAGGACATATATTCCTGAGACTTGCTTACCTTCATTTTTCCTTTTGCTGAATTATATTTCGTCTTCAGACACCTGCTCATCAAGCTGTTCATTTCTTCTTTAAAAAGGAAACGCCTTTTCTCTTGGACAAATCGGGGATGAGCACTGAAGCACCCCACAAACCTCCCACATTGCGCAAAGGGGGAGAAACTGTCTCAGCTGGAGAGGCACAAAATACAGGGGGGCGGCAGAAAGGTTCAGATGCGGGGAGGTCACACAGAACCCTGCAGTGCCATCTTCCATCGTGGTCTATGCTATTGGAGCACCGGGACGTAGTTATGCGGCGTGCCCCAGGGATGTCTTCAATGGGTCTGTGAACTGCAGAGAGACACTTACACCACACAACGGACTCGGTGGGGTGAGGAGTCCCACAGTGAGCAATGGCTACTCCCACAAGTCATGAACCCTAACGGCCACATCAGATTGCATGCTGGAGTACCCCGGCACTCTGGTGGTCAGTGGAGGGGGCTGGATTCCTTCTATTCTCCCGCCACCTTTGCACCACACGCAAAATCCATTGTCTCAGACTTTGGATGGGGGAAGATTAGAATTTCAACCAATAGTGCTCCAGAGGGAGACAAAGTTGAGCAAATGCAGTCCTGACAACTAACTACATAAGAGATGAGGCATTCTGTGGATCACGTTCTTCAGGAAAACTTTCAGGGCTGCATCCTGATCCCATTGATTCAAATGGGAATTTTGCCATTGATTTCAATTGTGCCATGATGTACCTCCTGGGTATTGTTTTTAATACTCTAGGAAATGTCAGTCGAGCCTATATGTAATTTTCTCCTCCAATACTTCTATTATTTTAAAAAAAGGCCAAGAAACTGTACCTTTCAAGGATAAGTTCCTGAGTCCATTTTTTCCCCCTTCAAAATTAGGCTCTTATCCTTCAGTGGATTATCAAGGAGGAACTGAGGAGAGTCACTCTTGAGCCAAGTCTGTTCTGTGCTGTGCAATTTATGTCCCCACTTGCAGTGCAATCTTGTGGCAATCAATATTTCTAACATGTGGAGAGTGTTTTTTCGATTGGTTTGCATAGTGTACTAGAAGAGAAAGGGGCACCCTCAAGATACCAAGCATATCACTTTTAAACCGTCCTTACTTGCATTACTAAGAATATTTTAGATAACCGATGCCAGAAGAGAAATCCTTAAGTGCCACCATATGATCTACGGATGCTTTCTGCCTTTTGCTCAGGGTGCAATTAAGGAAAGTCTCCCTGTTTAGAAAAGCACTTAAACATAAAGCATGAGCTTAACTTTAAGCATGTGCTTAAGTGCTTTCCTGCATTGGGGTGATCTCTTAGAAAATAAAACTAGACCAGTCAGTATCA